CCGAATATAAACAATATTGACAATAAAAGTGCGATAATAATGATAATAAAATGCAGTATTGTCCAACGAACATCATGTATTATTATTTCCATCAGTCATTCCCTATATATACATATATATTCACACACATACATAAATGTAAAGTACAAATCATATTAAGATAGCTGAAATACAGGGTTAAGATATATATGCACAAATATAGACATACGATTGACAATTTCATCCAAACACATACAATACATGCGGATACTGAAGAGAGATATTACACATTAAAGGAAAAATATCATAAAAGTTTAAAATATTGAAAATGCAGTATGCCATACTTTGTCTACATAATAAAAATACAGATGATGACGTGAGTTAGAGGAAAATGTCCTTATATAACTCTTCTAAACTGTAATAGGATCTACCACATGATAAATCTTTTACTGATTTTCCAAATTTTACTATGGCTTGGTAAATGATTGAATATTTCAAGACTATTGTAATATACTAGTCTTTGACTAGAATTGAGGTCAATAGCTTGAAGGACATATTTATTGGAGTAGCCGCTAAATATCAATTTATGTTTGTTAATCAAACAGACTGTTTCTAAAATAAAGATTCCAAAGACTGTCTGAATTTTATGTAGTTCGAACAAGGATTTGCAGCAGTCTCGACTTTTGGCATTGCACATGAATCTTATAGCTCTTGTCTGAATAATGGAAACAGTCTGCAATTGAGTTTTGCAACATCCTCCCCAGAAAGGAATTCCATACCTCAATTGAGAATCAATGAGTGAGAAATAGGCCGATTTAGCAGCAGACGAATAAAATTCCTTACAAGTTATTGTCACTGCAAAATAGCCTGAAGCTAGCTTTTTATTGAGAGTTGTTGCTATGTGATCGGCGAATTTAAGTTTATCGTCAATAATTACCACCAAAAATTTAAAACTAGGTCTGTTTTCAATCATCTTGTCTGCATGCTCTGTTGTTAATAGTATGCTATCAATAAAGCAGCGGAATGATATTAATTTTGTTTTGGAAACCTTAATTGGCAGCAGATTGGAGTCGCATCAGATTTTTATTTTCTATATCTGAGCTTATAATCTCGTGGAGAATACATACAGTTTTATTACGCCATAATATTGTAATATCATTGACATTGCCAAGCTGCTTCACTTGAACTGTGCTCAGCACAGCTATAAATGAAATATTGAAATTTATTGAGAAAATATTCTACATGGAGACGGGGTCGAAAGTAATATCACCATGGATATTCTATGCATCTTGTTTAAACTCGAAAATATACAAGATCCAGAATTCAAAGTACTAATATCATTTTCCATTGGTGTCTCTGATATGTTAATGAAAAATGGAAATATACAAACATTGTGACCTGGTTTTAAGAATGGAAAATGGCATAAAACTAAAAACACAAAATAAAACAACCTAAAAACATTCAACAATGAAGAAATTAGGTAGCCAACAAAAAGAAGAGTTCATAAATTCATGGATCAGCTCTCCCTTCCATTCGGAACGTTAAAGCATTTCTATGAAATCAATCACTTTTTTAGCAATATTGAAAAAAACTAATTGTAATTCTATATGTTTGAAAATTAAATAAATAAGGTTCATAGCGCATAAGTACCAAAGTCGCACCCAATCTATATGTCAGGTCAGTTGTGTTTTGACACACTAACCGTTCTCTTTCTCTCTGCTCTATCACAATACACCGAGCAGAAAAAGCAAATTTCTTTTGGCGGGAATGACTCATTCTGGATGCCAACAAAACATAACCGTACATTGACAGATAAAAATTGTGACTTTTCAACATTTCAAGGTCAATCACAACAGGTTAATAGTAGTAGTAGTTCATCTCACAGTAATGAAATTAATTTTCCTCACCAAAATAAATCAAAATATTTACAGTTAACTCAGGTTTTTATATAAATTATTACTAGAAATTACTCATCTACGAATATTATAAATAAATTATATAATATGGCAGCTCAAGTAGAACTCACAAGTACTGAAACTGAAATGGAAAAATGTTATGAAAACTATATTATAATCGATGTTGGGGCCAACTTGACTAACAAAAAGTACAGTAGAGATTTGGATTCAGTTGTACAGAGAGCCAAAGATTCAGGTTTGAATTCATTTGAAAGTTGAATGGTTTATTCTAAAATATAATATATGTATTTCAGGTGTTCAGAAAATAATGGTTACTGGTACTTCCGTAAAAGCCAGTAAAGAAGCTTTAAGACTCACTAGGATATATCCAAATACTCTGTATTCAACTGCAGGTGACTATTTTTTTTTACAGATATATTCATTGTTTGTCAGCAACACCAAGGAGTAAAATAGTAATGAACTTTACTTTTGATAATTTCTAGCTTTGTTAACACATCAATGTAATGTGGATCTATCATTCATCAACCATTAGATTTAATAATAATTTAATGAGACATCTTCCTGTTATTTTGGACAGAACATTCATAAAAGAAATTGGGCAAGCTTATATAATTTTCTAGTTGTGAATTTAGCATTTCAGTATTATCACAGTGTATTTAATCACTATTTTGAAGTTCTTTTTTCACTTAAAACTAAAAGTTTATAGTAATGAAAAAAAAAATGAATTTTGTGAAGTTCACAAAATTTGCAGAACGCAGTGGACGTCCAAATGTAATAACACCAGAAAAATTTTAAAAAATTCACAAAATCCTTTTGAATGATTGAATAGTGAAATTGCGTGAGTTAACTGACATTGTAAAAATATCATAAGAACGTGTTGGCTTTATATTGTATGAGCATTTGACTATGAGAAAGCTCTGTATAGTAGGGACAATGTAACATACAAATTGAAAAAAAAACACTAAGAATAATACAACAAATAAAAATAAATTAAAAAAAAACAAATAAAAATATGTGAAACTACAAAACTGTCAATCTATTTCAAGATATATCCTTTAAGTTGTTAGGTATTTTATTCCATAAATTAACTCCGTCATGAAAAATATATTTTGTATTTGCCGTGTATTATGATCATGAATTGAATTAATTTCGTCGTAACATGGTACTGAATGTTTTTTAATATTGTTAACGTTATAAATGAAAATGCATATTTTGAAATGGTATATTGGTCCCACATCCACCTCATTCGCCAGATTTGGCTCCCAGGGACTACTGGCTGTTCGCAGACCTATAAAAATGGTCACCGGTAAGAAATTCTGCTTGAATGAAGAAGTTATTGCTGAAACTGAGGCCTATTTCGAGGCAAAAGGTAAATCGTTCTACAAAAGTGCTATTGAAATGTCAGAGCGGCGCTGAAATGATTGTGTGGCTCTTGATGGCGATTACGTTGATGAAAAAAGCCAATTTTGCACCAAAAAAAAATACGTTTTCTTCCTTACAACCCGGGACTTTTCAGTCCATGTGTTATTACACAACTCCAGTCTATTCCAGAGTCCATGGTTAGAATAAGTGGTGCTCTGTGAACCAACCTCATTATTGTCAGGAAGTGAATTGTAAACATTTATAAGAATGAACTAAAGTGAGTTTGGGATGCATATTTTTTTGAAATTATTGAATTTATTGTTTGTTTGCGTATACCTAAAACGAATTAAAAAAATTCTAATCACTCAGGAATGGCTGATTCTATTTCCATTGAAAAAAATTCCTTCTTTCCATTAAAAAAAAGTTGAAAGCGCCCTCTTGGTAACAAGTGATTTATCTAATAAAAATCAAAAGGAATAAAAATGATACCATTTTACATAAACTGTGTCTGATCTTGATATCATGTCCTGTTCAAAAGTTAAGAGGAGGGAAACTATCCAAACTGTAAAATAGTAATAATGGTAGCTATTAATCCTTGAGAACACAAGGATCATTGACAAGTTAATAAACAAAATAAAAAACAGAAAAAACTCAAAAAAAAACAACAAACAAAGTGTTGATATAAAAATGCTGTTAACTTTCAAACTGAGGTAAAAATTCTTTCTTGCTACTTATCTGTAATTACTTCCTGTTTGTATATTATTATCTTTCAAGGAATACATCCGCATGATGCCAAATCTTATACTGAAGAATCCTGGGAGGAATTGAAAGAGTTAGCTAGTAATCCGGAATGTGTAGCTATAGGAGAGTGTGGCTTGGATTATAACAGGAATTTCTCAGAACCTGAGGATCAAAGGACGGTATTCAGGAAACATGTATGTTGACAACTCATATGTGATGAGAATCTGAGGTATAACCTCTAAAAAATCGAGAAAAATACCAATTCCCATCTCTTCTCTCCCATGGTTTCTACACTTTATCTGAAAATGTTTCTCTTCATAGATTGAACTTGCCATCGAACTCAAGAAACCTCTGTTCATACACGAAAGAGATGCCTATGAAGATTTAATAAAACTTTTAGAAGAATTTAAAACTACACTTCCTCCTGTGCTCATTCATTGCTTCACAGGAACCTCTGAACAAGCACTTGGATATCTCGATAAAGGATTTTACATAGGACTAACTGGTGAGTAGGTAATATTCAAACTCATATTTATCAAACAGTAATTAGTTTTCAAGATCGCAATGCATTTTGAAAACTTTTTCATTTAAAATTGTGCATTTTGGTCTGCTGAGGTTGAAACTTGATGTTCTAACTGCAGTCTACTTTCGATGATATATCCACTCCTAAGGTAAAAAAAGACTATTTCTGGAACTCACCTCTGGAAATAACTTGTGAAATAACACATTTGCCCGATCTCATACTCAGACCTTTATTTGCTTGTGACTTTTTTTACAAAAAACATTTAATTTTCTCAAAATTGTATATATACCAGCAAAGTACCTATAGTTATAAACTCAATTGGTTATGAAACTAATGAAAAGCTTATCATTTCTTGATTGTGATAAAAAAATCTTTTTGGCATTCTACTTTTTCATCATTAAGAAAGTAACTATAATAAAAATCTCTTTACATCAGATACAAACTGGAAGATTTAAGAACATTACACATGAACATTGAAATACATGAATATAACATTTCCCCATTCAGTTAGTTCAACAAATATAGGAATCACGGCTGGTTTGGTTGGTTTCCGGGCTTTTCCGTGGTCTTCTTTGGTTACAATCTCCAAACGTTTCAACTTTAACCGTGGCAATCATCTTCAGTGGCGTGGTTGAAGTACTCTTCTTGACGTATCAACTGAAACGTTGCAGTTGAAACTTTTGGAGATTGTAACCAAAGAATACCCGGAAACCAACCAAAACAGTTCTCCAAATATTCTTGGGAAGTAACTCTGTAGGTACATAGATGTGTAGATCATGCAAAGAAGTAACTTTCAGACACAAACTGGAAGAAAAAGCCCTCCTGAAACAGCTACGTTCGAATAAACATTTAAACAAATACTGAATTATACAAAAAATACTTTTCTCTACTCTACAGGTGGTCGGTAGCCGGTCGGTTAAACGTGGGTGCTTTGTTCACTCACTCGAATTGACCGCCGTGTTGGTCGGTGGTTCAAGCCCCAGGCTAAACCATCGATTTTCACTTGCTATCGTCCAACCCGTGTTAATCACACGTTGAAAGGTAAGACCTCGTTAATCCTTAGTTCGCACAAGTTTCGACTTCTGAGGGATATCGTTCGTAGGGGTGCGACAGCTGGTTAACGGAAAAACAAATTTTAAACAGATTTTTTAAACAATTTGTATTCCAAACATTCGCTATGAAATTGAATCAGGATTCCTACACAATATACTAAATGAAAGGTAGAAATTTCACTTGCCTTAGGGCTCTTCAGTACCAATCTGGATAACATAATAAAAAACACACATCTGATACAAAAAAATGGATGAGAGAATCTTCCAAAGAAAGGAAGGATTAATCAATTTGAAAATAAATAACTATATACATAGATATGTAGATCATGCAAAGAAGTAACTTTCAGACACAAACTGAAAGAAAGTCCTCCTGAAACAGCTACTTTCATATAAACATTGAATTACACGAAAGAAAAAATTCTTTTGACTTATTTGATTAAATCCCAGCCAAGAGAATCTTGTTTAAATTGAAAGGGTTATATTTTTTAGGAGTGATTAATTTTTGGGAAAGAAAGTACTTTCTACTACTACATCTTGATACAAATATTCGTTATGAAATCGAAGCAGATATCATTTATGGAATTGCTACACAATGTTATATATCAAAGAGTATTGATACAAAATGTCACACGAAAGATTGTCTTGCTTATAGAAGCATTTTGAAGTTTCGGGACAAGACACTTGTCGTATCTCCTCAACAGTATCATCTTGAACAACATAACAAGATGAAGCACTCATTTCTTTCATAACATACCATCACCGGAGGTGCCATATGAATGTCATTTAACTTTTAAATGGAATATTTTTAGAAGTGATCAGTCCGTTTTGCCTTTCTACCCCTCCATCAATAAACAAAAAATGTGAGAAACTTTCAGAGAAAGGAAGAAGAAAAATAACTACAATCAAATCTCTTTTAGATACAAACTGTAAGAAAAAACCCATTCGAAGTTTCTCACATTTTTTGTTTAATTGAGAAGTAGAAAGCCAAAAAGCTTTATTTCAAATACTAATATCTCCTAAAAATATCCCCTTTTCAATTTGAATTGATTTTGATTTATCGTGATATTACCATCAAATAACAAAAATGATAGTGAAACGACCAGAATATTCAAAAAGTTATTCCTGAAAAGGGTTATTTTGTTGAAATATTTTTATTCTGTGAAAACATTTGATTAGTGATTTACAGCATGAGATTGTGAAAAGACCAGTCTCATTACCAAAAGTCAGTTCCTGATTTAGTTTTTCAACAGTCTGGAGCGCCAAACTTTGACTTCAGATTCGTAATGAGAGGACAAAAATAAGTTGAAGTAAATTCAATTGGAATAATACGATCCTGAAAAACGAATTCTCACCTGCCAATCAATTAATTGTCACTTTTTTTTATAAAAAATATGTTTTTACAAAGTATAGGTCTATAGTACAACAAATGCTGACAAAATAAACGAATGGACATTCAATACTTGTAACATTTAAAAAATTCAAACAGTTCGAAATAAAAAAACAGAATTTGAACCTGTCTTAGAATCTGTCTTCAACATATTCTGCCAGATTGTAATGAGTTTTTGAAAGTAAAGTTTTTCATTTGGGCGGGCTAATGAAGTACAGAATATTTGTTTAAATTTTTGGGAAAGAAACATTTTGGCTTTCTACTTCTCCATCTTGACATAAAAAATGTGAGAATTTTCCAAAGAAAGGAGGGAAGCAATCAATTTCAAAAATTATTTCCATACAAAGATGTGTAGATCACGCTTTTTCTTCCAGTTTGTGTCTGAAAGTTACTTCTTTGCATCATTTTCACATCTTTATATAGAATTAATTTTTTAAATTGATTGCTTCCATCCTTTTTTTGGAAGATTCCCACATTTTTTGTATCAAGATGGAGTAGTAGAAAGCCAAAATATTTCTTTCCCAAAAATGTATCTCTCCTGAAAATATACCCTTTCAATTCAAATTTGATAAAATTGATGGAGAAATATGCATATCAAGGTCAAAATCCATAATAAATTTTGAAGTCTAACTACTGCTTGTGTTAGTAGTAATAAATGATATATGTAAAACTTGAGGAAAAATACAAATTTTATAAAAATCGTATTTGTTGAATTAATCATTCCATTTAAATTCCAGAATAAAAAACATTAATATACAAAAAATACTGTCGTTACAATTACATTACATTATTTAATGTGCTTTCTGGCTGCAATCAGCTGTTCGCATATGAAGCTGAAACATTTTTATTCAAAATTAGTTTTTATACTTTGGAGGACCTTTGTTATCAAAAAACTCAACAAAGTTTCAAATGTTCCTTACATAGTAGAAAATAGTGACAAATTGTATAAAACATAAGCTTTTTTATATTGTTTGACCTATCATCTGTACACTGTATGTTAGATTGGTGAATAAATATTATTCTATTGAAAAATAATGTAATTCATTTGGTTTATTTTGTTTAAGGTTACCTTTGTAAAGACAAATCAGATACAGGCGTGAGAAAATTACTAGAGGATGGCTCTATACCGTTAGAGAGACTAGTTGTAGAAACGGACGCACCATTTATGTACCCGAACACTCGAGCCTCAAAATTGCCAAATCATGTTAAAGAAGGCTTGACAGAAAGGTAAGGTTACAAACGTACCGACATATATTTACATTCTTGCTCTTATATTATTCACCTTTCTTATTTATATCAAATATAAAAGCTCTTGACGGAGTGACTTTATTCAAACTTTTCAGTGAATAAATTCTGAAATACTCATAACCTTCGGTGGAAAAGAGCAAATCATTTTATAATCATGAAGGGGTTTGTTTCTAGTTTAATACCACTGCTCCCAATATTCATTTGGACTAAGCAGCAGTTTCATTTGGACTAAGCAGCAGTATACTAATTTATTTTTACATGTATTCAACTGAATACCAATGTGTGTCTCATTGTTCCTCAGGTCACACCAAGTTTATGTGCCTTTGTTGACTCGTTTCAGTAGTTGTTTACCTGGAAATATTTTTCTATTCCTATTGATCTGAATTTTCAGGGAGTTGGGTATATAAGAGTGATTCATCTGTCTCTATGGTGATGGAAGCGCTATATATAAGTATCAAAAGACTTCCTGTTACTTTTAACCTTTAAATGTTATAATATGTAGATCTACTAAGTTTTTACTATTATATAGCAAATTTGAAGAAATTATCAATAATTCCAACCTTATCAGTTATGTGGTAGTAAAAAACATCATGTGATGACTGATTTTTTGTAACCCAAGTAATTATTTCATAGACAGCTTCATATGTACCAACATACTGTCTACTTGAATCAAAAAGTTGTATCATCTACATATGCAATTACATTTTCCATTGCCATTGCCTCGTTTTACTGTTATGGATTTATTCTATATATCTTGGATGATAACAATTTGTTTTCTGTTCTCAAAATAAGATTTCATCAAGTCTTGCACCTTTGAACTTGATAGATTGTGATCTACACACAAAGGTTCTCGAAATAAAGCACAATCAAAGGCTATGAATAATCAGTAGATTGGAATTTAACAGTCGAGATCAGTTTTAGTGCTCTGATTTTTTGTAAAACCATGCTGATATGATATCATGTCAAAGTAGTCGTATTCTGTTATGCATAGACTAATGATTTATTTTTCTTGACATTTTTCTTTGTTTCTCTGTACTTTTGAAGATATTGAAAGCAAAAAGAGCTCTTTTCTAAACAATTATTACACAAAAACCTATTATAAATGAAAAAATGGAAGAATTATACCTCTTAGCAATCGTATTTTCAGTATGGGATGAAATTTGTTAATTATAAATTGAAATATGTATGTAAGTTAATTTCAGATAAAAAAATAAGAGATACCATATATTACTTAGACATAATTTTCTTAGATGAAGTAAAAACAATACATTATTTAGCCAGTTAATTTTTAATTTCTTTCAAACTAATCTAGGACTGCTACTTACAAGCTAACTTGAAATTAACCATCAACACTAAACATAGAAAATAAATGCGTCATTGATTAATACAAAATGTATCCATAAGTTACAACTATTCTTATTATAATGAGAATTTCAATTCAGAATGCATTGCATTATCTCTTTAGGTTCACCCACTTTCATATTAAACACTCAGTTAAAAGGAGCTCAATTGTATCAAATAAGGTTTCCAACAAAACTCCACACAAGCCTACAAAAGGTCGAAAGGGTCAAATTCCCTCCCCCAGCCAACCCCTACCAACCAGATTTTACTCAACTAACTTGACTGAATTATTATATTTATAAACAACATTTAAAATTGAAAAAAAAAAATTACCATTCTTATAAACATCCTGACTAATAATTACATTGAACACATCCCGCTACCTAACACAACAAATTACATTTCGAGAGGATGTTCGTAATATAAATATTAGATTCAAGGGAATTGTGCACTTTCTAACAGAATAACAATTATTAGATGATCGTTCTCTTATCAAGTCTCACGAGTTTATAATTCAATTCCGCAAAATTTTAAGTCACTAAATATATTTGTTTTTGAAAACAAATGAAGGCATTTCTTCTGAGTAAACAAATGTCTTAGTAGACATGGGAAATTGATAGGCTATGATTTATTGTGAATACATTGATTTTTTCTCAATTTATAGCCGTATTCGTGTACTTATGTGATTGTAAAGCTTTAAGTAGATTTAGAAGGTAATTAGTGCGCTTTCAACATTAAATGTAGTAATTAGTTATCTTCCTCGCTTGAGAGTAATAACAGAGTTCCATGTACTTTGCATAAAATACATTGATCACCTGATCTTCGGCGTTTTCTCGTAATTACCATATAATAAGTTATTAATGTAATTTTTTATAAAAACATAACTAGTTATGAGAAATAAAGACCTATTATTATTATTATTATTATCATTATTATTATCAATAACAAATATTTGATGTAGCAGAGCCATTTCTTGACAATCTTCATTTGAAAGGTTTCTTTAATCAACAACAAAATATATGAATTTGAGGGAACTGTATACATACTCCTGATTAAAAACCAATAAACTAAGGTTCAACATAATGTATTTTTAGTTTTCCAGGAACTTCCGTCTGTGAATATCAGTGTTATTTATTTGGCTTTGCTTTGTTAAATTTTGAGAGGAATCGGGAATCTGTGAGTTGTAATTTTCCTGGTATCCTCCAAAATAAACTTCGAGGTCAAGGTAAACATTTTATTTTTAGATAAATGACGATGTTCTCGATAATAAACTGAACTTTGTGGTCTGTTTATTTGCAAGTTGTTCGCCTGGAAAAGATAAACATTTGTTTTGCATTTAAGTCAGTGTTTTTTTAGTTTTAATCTATCAAATCAAATATGAATTTTTTTACAGAAAAATGAACAAAGTAAAAGTGATGTAGAAATTTTGTAGAATAATTTCTGAGATTTTTCATTAGTAGTATGTAGTTGGTATTTCTATGAGTAGTAATTCAGTTATTTTTAGCTACAAGCAACTCTGATACAAAAATTATTATTATCGAAATACCATTTTGGCATAAAAAGGCTCAATAGTGTAGTTTCTAGAGGAGTACAAAAATTGGCTTATTGCTGTTTGGTACATTTCCATCTCAACTATGGGATATTGATTTGGGAAGTGTCACCTGCAAGTAAAAATGTTTCCATTATGTAGAAAAAAAATAATCAGGAACTTGGAGGTCTTACAGCCTGGGAACACATAGGTGTAGTTTGTGAAATTAAGTATGTTATTCACTATGAATAGTGAATAACATACTTTATAACACTGTATGTTATTCACTATGAAAAAGCTACTGTGATAGCAAAACATGTGATATTTTTAACAATAATGTTTGTGAAGATCAAATCGTAAGGTGTAGTTTGTGAAATTACTATGGATCTTCAGGAAGTAACTGCTGAGTCAGTCGGAAAAAACTTAATTCATTAATTTTAAGATTTTAACTCTACTTTCTGTATTCTATGGAGGCAGTATTGTATGAACATATCAATAAACACAGGGAAAATGGCTATACAGAATGATTTCATTTGTATAAAATGCATAACGCCTTTTTCAAAAAATGGAAAAGTTTCATTCTGAAAATATTTTAAATTTGTATTTTCTCAATTATCCCAAGAAACATTAAATGTTTATGAATAGGAATCAACTAAATTACCTGAAGATACAAATTTAACAAAATAACGAAATATTGAACAAGAAAACAGAAGTAATTAATATGAGCAGTAAATATTAAATTTGTTTATAGTTATTGAAAACTAAAATATTGAAAAACAGTTGAATGTGAAATTTTTCATAATTAATATAAAAATTAAATTGATGGATGTAGCCGAAACTGATATTTTTGCACTCGACGCGCGTTTCGCCAACAAATCAATTTTCTTCTCCTGAGGATGCTAACTTTGTTGGCGAAACGCGCGTCGAGTGCAAAAATATCAGTTTGGTGTTAGGGCAATTGATCTCGAAAAAAGTTATTCAATCACTTTTATTGTATAAGTTAGAAAATGTCCGTATAGGACGAAACTGCGGTAACGTTAGTTACAAATAAAAGTGGTAAAAAACATAGAAAGTTTCATTTCTCTTTTCTTCAATATAAAAATTATTTGGATGATTCTGGCTATAGGAAAATCCTGTATTCTCAAAACATTTCATTAAATACTTTTTCAATTGATTTTTGAGCAGTTTTAGACTTTTTCATTTCCTCGGGAATTGAAAGGTACAGTAAAAAAGTGGCTGAGTTTAAAAACTTTCGATAATATTAATGAGTTTTTTTCCGTTTTTTCAGGATGAGTACCAAACATTTATGTCAACTTGTTCAAGGTGATACTTCAAAATCAGTGTGATAAATAAATTGTTTTTCAGGTCGCTGACATTTTTGCATCGCTACTGTACTTTCCAAAGAAACGAACCTTGCTCTTTGCCTGCCATAGTCGAAATGATCGCGTCATTTATGAAGAAGAAGCCGGAAGAAGTGGCGCTGGCTACTTCATTCAATGCCATGAAACTGTTTGGACTGTCGTAGTCCTATCCTATTTATTCATACAACGAATGCATATCAAAATAGAACCCTGCACCATTCTTACAGCGAGTAGTATCTTGTTGAATTGTCTGAATGTTTTTGTATAATGTAGGTATATGCTCGTTACAAGTTCGGACTTCCTTTGCCTAAAAAGTCGTTAACAGATTTGAAATTTCAGAGGAACAAATAGAATGAAAATGAATGAAATGTTAAAATCAATGGAATCACTGAAAATTACCTGAAGAAAATATTCGGGCAAGTTAGTTAAAATCATTAAGCAATTAGTATTGAAATTTATAAAATGTAAGAACGCTAATTAGCTAAGCAAACAAATTATTGTGACCCGAAAAGAAAATGCATTAATACCTAAATGGGTCAAAAGTGAAATGTGAATAATATACAGACTAGAAAAATGAAATGAAAATAAAATAAATGGTGAAAAATGCAAACAACGTTCCAATTATCAGTATCCACAATCGTCTTCGGGATTAGTGGTTTCCATATCTTGCATATTTCCACACTAGCCTAGCTGAATGGGTCGTTGTCCAATGTGTTATGCAGCTTCAGTGTTTTTTTTCTGTGTATGATTTCAGCTTAAGACCATTTGATGTCATGTTGACAAATTTTTAAACTCATTGCTTGTACTTATTTCTGTATTTTAAATAAGTCATTGGAATATTTAGGTTCCGTAAGTTTTAGTATTTTCAGAAATTCTAACATTATATTCATTTTATTTGTTTTTTTTAACTTTGGACAAAAAGTTATTCTTCACCAAAAGTTTCAGGACTAAAACCTAATACGCAACAATCGGTTATCAAATTCTTTCAGTCCTATACGAGGTTTGCCAAAAAATATGAATTTTGCTCAAGAGTAAAGTAACTCTTCAAGACAATATCGAAAATTTTATACAAAACAAGATGATCAGAATTGAAAATTACATTACAATATGCGCGATTGTAATACTTTATAATAAAAAATTAGGTTTTTTAATTTTTTACAAATATATATTCACTTTTTGAATGTATTTTATTTTCATTTAATGTTTATTGAAATTAATACAAAAGTGATAACTTTTGTTTCTTGATGTTTTCTAATTATTTTACATGTGTAATAATTATAATTGAATTTTTGTTATTGTAGAGAACTACAATACATTTGTGTATAATTTATAAATAACACTGTTTGATATTGGAGCTGAATTCATAGTTTTTGACACATCTCGTGTATGACGGAAAGAAGTTGATAATTGATGATAACATTTTCGGTTTTAGTTCTTGCAGAACTTTTCTAGAAGTTTTCTATATGGTTCCTACATATTGAGATATACTGTATATTTTTTAATGATGATGCCTAGTACAAACCACATTGTAAAACTAGTTCTCGAGCTGAATAGTCTTGAATTTCACTAGTTCGGACTTCTATTGTCTAATATATTAAATGATTTGAAATCCCTGAAACATTTAAAAAAAAGAAAAATTAAAAATGAATAGCTGAAAATAACAATTATATTAAGCAGAAAATTACTTGAAATGAAATAATAGTGAAATAAAATACAAGTAAAAATAGAACGATTGAACAAAAAATAAAGAAATATAAATGAAAATAAAAAGTTAAGAGATTCCAAGCCACGTTAGTTCACGACGTTTTGATTGCTGGCATCTACAATCGTCTTCGGGTGATGACTGGACTGATTCCTCCGAGAGATGACTATGGGTCGTTCGAGTACTTTCACTTATCCCCGCTTTCCATTTTTCCGCTTCACTGGTTCAGTGGGAGATGACTGTTTGGCGGGAGTTAGCCACTTTTCGCTTGATGATGGGTTTCCATATGTTGCGTATCTCTACGCTAGCTTGGCTGAATACGTTGTTGGACAGCATGTATTCAGCTTCCTTGAATTTTCTCCTAAACCAATGTTCCTCTCTGTGTATGATCTCATCTTGGTACCACTCGATGTTGTTTTGATGGGTGAAAACATGGTCTGCTATTCCTGATTTGCTGGTTTCTCCTCGCTGTGTGTGTTTCTTGTGCTCGGCAATGTGAACATTCAATGGCCTCTTAGTTTCACCAATATAAGATTTTCCGCACTCAGCGTTTGGTGGCCTGGTTTTCGTGAGGCTGCTACGGATAATGTTACCGGATCTGAAGCAGGTTCTGATGTTGTACTTGGAACTAATTCTTCTTATCCTCTCCGATAATCCTTTGATGAAGGGAAGTGCAAGCACTGGTTGTGATGGCTTCTCTTCCTTACGAGGCTCCTGCTGTCTTTTAGCCAAAGTCTTTTCTACCATCGCTTTGGAGTAGCCATTCCGTTGAAGATAATTTTTGATGATTTCTAGTTCCTTCTCGAGATCTTCTTTCATATTACAGAGCCCGAAAGCACGGTCTAATAGGGTCTTGATGATTTCTCTTTTAGTCAATTGATGGTGGTTGGATTCGTGGTTCAGATACTGTCCCGTATGAGTGGGCTTTCGGTATACAGATGTTTCCCACTTAGTGTCGGTCCTCTTCACCAAAACGTCTAAGAATGGCAATTCGTTGTGAATTTCCGTCTCCATTGTGAAAGTGATGGAAGGTCTCACGCTGTTGATGTGTTTCAGGAAGGCGTCTAGTTCAGTATTCCCGTACTTCCATATTATGAAGGTGTCCTCAACATATCTCAATCAGACTCGAGGTTTCTTCAATGGCCAGAAACGTCATGAACTAACGTGGCTTGGAATCTCTTAACTTTTTATTTTCATTTTCATTTATATTTCTTTATTTTTTGTTCAATCGTTCAATTTTTACTTGTATTTTATTTCACTATTATTTCATTTCAAGTTATTTTCTGCTTAATATAATTGTTATTTTCAGCTATTCATTTTTAATTCTTCTTTTTTTCTAGTTGCTTCAGGGATTTCAAATCATTTTATATATTAGACAATGGAAGTCCGAACTAGTGAAATTCATCATGAAACATTGTCAATCACCTTCAAACAAACACTGAATAGTCTTGTTTTAAAGAAAATGATGATATTTTCCAATGGTTTATTGCTATTGCAGTAAATATCAACATATATTTCTTTTCAAAATAACATTTGGCTTACGAATAACAGAAACTTGAATATTAAAATAGTAATTTCGTCACGCGTACTATGTCATTCAAATTTTCAATCCTTTCATTTGTGCGTGGGATTGCACCTTAAAAAATAAGACTGAAAAATCTCCTGAAGAGTCCTATGAGTTGGTCTTAGGAAGCAGTTTTATCATAAAATCGTTTTTAGAATGAATTATCCTTTTTCCAAGTTTTATTAAAAAACTCAAGATGTACTATTAACGCTGTAAATAATAATTAACTCATATTTTTTATATATGTGATTTAAAAAGTTGGAAATATCTAAAGTTTTTTTAACAAGATGATCTAATAGTACAGGATCTGAAGAGAGGTCATCCTCCACCCATTTGTACAGATGGGTGCTTTGTTCACTCACTCGAATTACTGCCGTGTTAGACGGTGGTTCAAGCCCTATTCTGAACGATCGCTTTTCACTTGCTATCGTCCAACCCGTGTTAGGAATCACACGTTAAAAGGTTGGACCTCGTTAATCCTTAGTTCGCCCAAGTTTCGACTTCTCAGGGTTCTCGTTTGTAGGGGTGCGACAGCTGGTTAACGGAAAAACAGATTTTTTAAACAGAAACATAATTTTTATTGAGTTTCAAACAGACGAAACCATCCCGAATATGTTGCCTATCAAAAATATGTTAATGGCTATCCTCAATCTGATGAAAAAAAGTCCTTAATCTAGCGCGAAGCTTCATAGTTATGAAGAAAATAACGAATATAGGTAAGCCTAAATTTAATTTTAAGAGTCCACTCTTCTATTGAAATTATCTGTAAAAACTGTAAAGCTTCTAGGTGGATTAAAACAAAAAAGTTTAATAAAAAATAATTACTTCAATTATTGAGAGTAATTCACGGCGATACTGTATAATTTTACTAAATAACATTGATTTGCACAAAAATTTGGACTTGGGTTTTACATATCCTTATTTCAAAGTTGAATCTGTACTGGCGGTTGCTTTTAAGCTGGGAATTGATGCTACCCCTTCTTGAGTGTGAATTTTTATTTACTGACAGTAACTATGAGAAAGGATAGATTGACTGATTCCCAAGCAAATTTTGTTCTATAAAGATTTTTCTGAAAGTCAAGTTTTTGCCTTTCTACTTCTTCATCTTTATACAAAAAAAATGTGGGTATCTTCCAAAGAAGAAAGCAATCCATTTCAAAAAATTAACTCTATACAAAGATGTTAGATCATACAAAGACGTAACTTTCAGTCACAAACTTGAAGAAAAGGCCTTTTGAAACGGCTACTTTCATATAAGGTGTTTTCTGGCGTTTATAATCATATTCGAGCATGTATTCAAAAACGATTCTCAGTGACGTCATTGATAATAAGATTCGCCAGAATGGAATGATTCAATTTGTGTCAGATGTCAAATTCAATAATAAAAACAAACTATTCAATTTTCTTTTTTCTTTAATCGGAATCGGATTGGTGCATACAATTTTTTACATAAATATTACAAATGTAGCTGCATTTTTGAAACCAGTGTACCAGATTTTTTTTTCTATTCAGAATATGAACCAACAACAAAATTTTTTCCTAAAAACATACCCCTTTCAATTTGATATTTTTCTTCTTATTCGGTAGTGAAAGTGTCAATTTTTCAATCAATAAACGTTTTCAGGCATTTTTTCGCTAATGACTCAAAAAGTATTTCACCAAAAAAAGTTGCTTATAAACAACAAAAAGAATGGTTGTTTTATTGTGTCTGTAGACTCAATATGAAAGCAGTAATATCTTGTTGAAGGTTGGTTTGTATTATTCAAATGCAAAAATTATAAATTGTGAACTGACAAAAAAACAATTTTTTTTGGAATCTCATAGAACCTTTTGTAAAAAAATGTAATTTTTATAGTCTGTAAAGTTCCGAGCATTGAAATAAGTGAGTTGTGACAATAATGTCAGTCCCTATTTTTTCGCTGACAAAAAATGTGGAAATGACCTGCTAATTACCACCCTGATTGAAAATAACCGTTATCATTTTACAATTCACTTTATTTATATACTTGTAATATACTATATAAGTTACCAGTTTGAAGTTTTAGAATAATTTTGAAGGGAAGACAACTATTTGCAAAATTACAAAGATACCATTTTCACTTAAAGCTCTTTTTTTTTCAATACTAAGCACTTAAAACCAGTCAAACATCTAGAGCATATTACAAGTACCAAGGTGAAGTGGACCACCATTATTTTCGTCATAATTCGCTTAGTTTTGATGTCAGGGGCTTCTAAAATAAAATGAAAATAAAGATATTTTAGAATACTTCAAAAAAGGTTCTGAAATTTCCTCGAATTAGTTCACGTTGGCGTTTGAGGAATGAGAACCAAGCTTCAATTAGCTATTCCTCCGTTTGTATTGGGTCACTGAGTTTTTTGAAGTTGAACTCGAAAAATAGATTGGCTTTATTGGTTGCGAGTAAGTCGAAAAATATTAACTTTCAGAAAAAACTCTATAGAACCAAAAAAGTTTGTAATTATTCCATCGATTCATTCCTGGACTTATTTTTAATGAACCATCTTTCTCTTCTGAGAAGAATGGGAGAATGGACGGCATTGAATTTTATGGGGAGTTTCATTTTATGGCGGAGTTAGAAATAATAAAAAAATGTTTTCCTCTTTGATCAAAAATCAATGAATCTGATGAACTCGAAAATTGCCAATGATAACAGCCGTGTTGGCTATTTCAATTAGTGTATTCATTAAAAGATGAAAAAATACAATCTTATGAAATATGGATGAATTAATGAAAAAACAATATATTTCAAAAACTATTGAATATAAAAATAATAAAAATTCCTCTGTATAACTTGTTCAATTTATGACTTATTTATTTTGTAGAAATTCATATTACCTATAGGATAAGGAAAATTACTTTTGTCTAATTTCTAAAATTTTTATTTGTTGAGATGGGTTTCAGATTATAAAACTTATCTCAAGTAAATCCTTATATATATACAATGATCAATGGTCAATTTCCTTTGTGTAACTTCAATACCTGAAATAGACAGATAAATACCAAAAATGTTACCTGAACTATGAATATCTTATCTGAGATAACAGATAAGGTCTTGATAATTGAGGTAACATTTTTGTTATTCCAGGTACCTAAAGGACATTGACCATTAAGGATTTACCTGAGGATGGTTTAATGAACCAAAACCCAGTCATAACAAATTGAAATCCTAGTAGAAATTGGACAAAAGTTATTTTCCCTATCCTATATTTCCCTTGGTATAAACATGAAAAAAGATATTTAGCATTGTTTCACATTTTGAAGTCTACATTTTTTTTATTATTATAAATATGACATTAGTAATGTATGAATAATTCCAATTTGTCTTTGAAATTTTCTATATTTTATTCACTATCATTGGATAAAACGAGTAAATATTAGAATTTAAACAAAAATTGAATCCTTAAAGATTAACTCAAGGGTATTTTACTCAAACAAGCTTACCTCATCAACGAATGCGACTGCAGAGAATGTTTTTCTGGAATTGGGACCACTTACGGTTGAACGAAAAGTTATATTCAATTGACTGCCGTGTTGGTAGGTGGTTCAAGCCCTAGTCTGAACGATCGATCTTCACTTGCTACCGTCCAACCCGTGTTAGGAATCACACGTTAAAAGGTAAGACCTCGTTAATCCTTAGCTCGCACAAGTTTCGACTTCTGAGGGTTGTCGTTCGTAGGGGTGCGACAGCTGGTTAACGGAAAAACAGATTTTTTTTTTTTTTTAATATCGACCTTGTTGAACTATACCTCTGAGAATGAAAGTTGTTATCTAAAAAACAGTCGAATGGTACCTTATATAATGATTTTGTTATCACCTAATATATCTTAATATAATATTTTTTCTTTCCTCTATCATTTGTGGCTCGAAAACTAGTTTGACCACAGGATTAGGATAATTTAACAAATAGTAAAAATGGTGCGGGTCCTTTATCAAAGAAGTATTCTACTCCTCTGTAAATCCAACTCTCTAGTTTAAAACGTAACAATGTAATGTAACCCAAAATATGTATGTGTGTTATGAGCTTTCTTGCCTTACAGGAGCAGAAAACTTTGTTCAATGTTCTTTGTCAAACATAGAATTACCGATTTTGACAAAGATTCTCGATATTTTTACAAACTATTTATTAATTGTTGGTAGATTTTAGTTTTCGAAAAATTGTTGCCATAGATTAGGGAAAGTGTATAGGAATTTCCTGCTTATTTTTACCGAGACATATTTATACAAAAATTATATATTTTTTGATATTTTAGGAGAATATAATGATTATTTACTGTAAAATGCTATATTATTTGGTGGGTGCTTTCAAAAATTGACATATATTTGTGAACACTGTCATATTCAAGATATTTTTACATAAACATTCAAAAATCATCGAATTGGAAAAAGATTTCAGATCAAAATTGTATATTTCATACGGTTTTTGAGAAAACTTTAAATTTGTTATAACGCAGTGAATTATTTATTTTTTATTCTAGGTTTTGCGTGCTTGAATAAAAGTATATGTGAGTTGAAAAATTATTGCACATTGCATTGGTTAAAGGTATCTTTTTTGAAAATAAAGATCATGATGAGTATTTTTATGCATGATATGCTTTGGGAATATGTTGCTTAGGAAATATAGAAATATATTTTTGTTATCTCATTGATAATGGTGCCTTATTGAAAAATAAATGAATATATTTCTTGTATTAATTGTGTTTTATTTCTTAAAAAATCGCCAACATACTAATTGCACTATTCTTGATAATAAATAAATTGTGTTTAAGACGTGTTTCTCTACACGATAGCTTCATTAGTTGGAATGGTGTCCAGTCAGTCAACTGATGAAGCTACAAATTTTCATGAAGTAACAGGTCAGTCTTTTCATGATACTGACTACAGAAAATTTTTTGAATTACATCTGCCAACAAATATTGGTGAGACTCTTTTCAAATGGTGACAGTGATTATTGTTTAAACACTACGAAGTCCTATTTTCATTTTACCAAAAAAAAGGCCTATCCAATTTGAGATTGATACTTATTCAAATTATCTTGTGTGGAAATTCATATGGATAATCCTTTCGTAAGAAAGAAAAATGTTACTTCTAATTTGTTACTTCTCTTAAATTTGTTTTCAAGATATTTTAGTTTCTCAATTATTCTAATGAAAATCAAGGAAACACTACTGAGAGGATATATTTTGGAGTTATGCAAGAATCTAGTCTTGGTCCTGTTCTGTTCCTCATCTATATTAATTCAATGGCACAATTGAAACTTTATGGAAAACTTACAAAAACAAGTTTATTGTAATTGTTTGAAAATGTCCTTACAGAACGAAACTGCAGTAGCAACATTAGTAACGAATAAAAGTGGTAAGAAAGTTTTATTTCTCATTTTTATTGATCTCCTACTACGTAGTAACGGCTACGTATTATAAACATTCAATGGACGAAGATTTTAATAAAATCACAGATTGGATAAAATAGCATAAATTACCTTCGGGTTATAAAAAATCTTCTTATAGAAATGCTTCAAAAAAAACTTTTAAATTTAATTATAATGAAGTAGGATATAAACCAGTCCTGAAACTTTGAGAATTCTATATCCATGAAAAATTATCATGGAAAAATCATTTCGAAAATATAAGACACAAGCTCTCCCCAATAATTGGTATAATATTTAGAATAATATACTATATTCCTCATACTACCTATTAAACTCATATTTTCAATAGTGGCTATAGGGGATTCAGCTAGTAGTTCTGCAATGAAGCCATTACAAAAATTTCAAAATAAATGAAAATGTATTTTCAAATAAGTTTATCGGGAACCAGCTAGAAATTTATTAAATTCAATAAATCATTGTATACATGGTGTCAATTTGAAATTTCCCATTCTTCCATTTAACAATATAAGGAATCGAAAAAACAGCTCAATTTTATTGTCATGCGGAACACTTTCAGGGACAATTTTTAGCCCTCGTGGTTCAATCCCTAGGAGGGGTAGATGTTACCCATGAAATTTTAAATGGGAAGGAGGTCAAGTGGCACATCATTGGCGTTCAAATCTGCTTCCTATGGTACCCTGCAGGTTTTATGTCCGACGTTTCGTATACTACTGCGGTAGACATCATCAAAGGCGATGAAGTAACGCTCGAAGTGCTTGAGTGGTTGTTCATACCGCAGTAGTAGAAAATTGGATTGAGGATCTTTAAAATGCTTGCTACTTTTGCTAAAATGTGAACTCCAATTTCTCAAATATGTCTCATCGAGAGGAGATTGAGGTTACAAACTTAGGAATTTTCTAGGTTGTGAACGGAAATTCAATATTTATTCTGATATAATCATTATGTTAGAAACATAAAATATTGGGTTTAATTAATTATTCACACATCAGAATTTCATGCCCAATATCTTTGATCTTCTGCTGTCAGTTCATCCAATCTTGTAGTATGAATCTGATGGTCTATCCCTATTATAATGATTGATATAAGCTAAAGAAATGTTTTAGTTAAAACTTGAGATCATTTGAAAAAAAGACTGGCTTTCTAGCTGCAATTCTGTTTAAATACAGCCAGTTAATTGTTTTCTATATTTTGCATCTTCCGAATTGATAAGTTTAGTATTCTTATAGAGTACATGCAAAAATCTTGAACTAAATAGTAGTTCTGGATTTGTATCATTTCCTTATTGTATCTTTTCTATAATTATTGAAATGAGTTTCCTTCAGTCATAAATTTTAATTAAAAAAGAATGTTGACAGTGTTTGCAGAGATCATGTATATTATATGTCACCATTGAAAAAAAATATGTTCCTAACCCCTTATGTTCCCATTTCTCTTCCAACCATGGGACATAAAGCTGCTAGTTGCTTATTGAAAATTAAACATATTTCTTTCCTAAAAAAACTCATTGTTTGTAACTCTAAAAGAAGTTATTCATCATAAATTAATTTCATTTTGGTTTTGCCAGGTTATCGAGAAATGGAAATTTCTTCAAAATTTTATATTACATTCTATCACTTCCATTAATGACATTTTAATTGGATAGGTATGTGATATACGAATAAGAAAAATCAAGTCCTTTCTAGAAATCGATTCTAGAACAACAAAGATAAGGGGAACGCAATTTCATGCAAAAAATAAAGTAGAATCACGCAAACATCACCTGATCATAATCAATACGTAGTTAATCGCTTGAAGAGTACCAACACCTAAATAAAAAATATTTAAATTCTCGTATCTGAAGTACATGTTTTCCTGGCTATTTTATGAATATCAGCGAGATACACAGCTAAAACGTATGTTTCAATTTCTGATTTTTCAATATCATGCAATGAAAAAAATTATTTCATTTTTCTAAATGATTTCAAAGAATGTATGTTGACCATTCTGGTTAGAGATGGAGGGGGAAGCACGTCATACCTGACAATCCTATTTAAAGACACACCCGTTGGTAGCCATCTTATATCAAGTTGTGAATACTTGTGTTGAAAGCATTGAGCATTTGTGATACTAAATAAATATTTTGAGTTGATAGTTTAGTTTATACAAAGCAAGAAAGTAAGTACATAAATTGATTTATTTGAAAATTAAAATACGCTTATGTTAGTCCTATCTGAACAATTTCTACTTGTTAAATATCGTTTCCAAGGGATTGTTTTCCTTTGTTTAATAACCAAATTTTTATTTGTGATATTTTTACAAAGACACGTCCATCTTATCCATCCAGTCCTGTAAGTATTTCTAAGATTCAAATTGATATTCAACATTTCTTGTGATGAGATTTTTAAGGTGTGGTAGTTGCGTCAGCCATTTGAGAACAAAGGATTCCAATGTTCAAAGTTTCTAATTTTCAATTGACTTCTGAACTTGCGTCATGTGCATTATTCTAGTGTTAATTTCTAAAATTTAATGTTTTATATTGAAAGGACAATAATTATTAACAATTACTGAAATACTCTTGACTCACTGGATACAGTAGCCAAAATGGCGGACTGGAAGGAAAATGGAAAGGGTGTCTGCTGTCGATACTAGTGTCTGTAAAATGAAGTATGAATTTAAATGAATTGAGTCCACAATAGTAAATAATTGAAACAAATTCTCGGTAAAATATTTTCTGAGATATACTGAATTGTTATTTTGGATAGAGATCCGTACTTTACATGTCATAGTATTTGAGTTTTCAATACTGTCTATTTTATAATAAAGTATAGATTTAAGTAATTTGAGTCTACAATATAAAACAAATTAATGTAAAATAATTTAAACAAATTATTATTCTCGGTGAATTATTTTCTGAGATAGGTATACCGAATTGTTATTTTGGATAAAAGTCCTTACATACATACATTCAGAAATATTTATTGTGGTATTTAAGTTTATTGAATAATATATAATTTGTATGTAGGTTGTTCATCAATGCAAAAACGAAACATATCTATATGAAAAGCAGTTACAACATTCTAGTGGCGAAAATTGTATATTAGTAAAGAAATAAAAACAATATGAAGAAATAAAAATGTGAAAACATAATGGGCCATATATTGATTGAGAGAAGTAAAAGCTTTTAATTCCATCCCACTCTTTTAAGTTCACACACTGAACACGTCTGCCTAAAAAATTCGAGCGGAAGCATTTACTTCATTTTTATTCTTATCAATCAATATCGGAATCATTGTCATCAAAAACATGCTGGATCTGTAATGGTAGTAAAATATTTATATGAATTTTAACTTAAATTAAATACTGAATTTACTAAACTATCTTTTGGGATATTTGCAGATTTTTTCTTTCACAAAGATAATTACAGTACTCAAGTTGGAGTAGTTTTATGGATGACTCTTGATTTAAAGAAATTTGTGTGAAAATTTTCCAGATTTCCTAGAAGTGTAAAGGTTTTATGTATTTGTCTACTTTTCAGTAAATATGGCTAGAGAGATTTAGCCATATCAATTGAACACAAATGGTGATGTAATTCGTTTAAATTGGCCCAACTTCTTTTATTTCGAACCATTTGAAGTAAATAAAACACTGAATCTTAAGTGGAGTACTTCCACAATACATTTGTGAAAACTGCAACAGAGACCATTTTTGGAATTAGCATGCACAATTACAAAAATTCTAAAATTCATTGATTTGGATTCTATTGCTTCAATGAAGATCGCCCATAGTAGTATTTTTTTTAACTATTTTTCATGTATAGACCACAATCACTACAATATGTGTATGTATCGATCTATGAAAATGATTGATAATTAGGATTTTAGTCTATTTTATCAGTTTTTTGTTTCAAATTTACACATACAATTCAAATGTCTATCAACTGAAATTCTTCAGTTTCTTCCACTGAATACATAGTTCAATAATTTAGATTGTAGCTAAAATTGCAATCCAAAGATATTATCAACTTTGAGGATTATTATGACCACACTTGGTCTTGCAAAGGCTGAAAATTATCGAGAAATATTGAGATTTTTGAACTTTCAGATTCTAAATTTTCTAGGACTTGTAACAAAATTTTTCATTTGTTTCAGAATGCAGATCTTTGTGAAAACGCTGACTGGTAAAACTATCACCCTTGAGGTTGAACCATCTGACACCATCGAGAATGTTAAAGCCAAGATCCAAGATAAGGAAGGAATTCCCCCAGACCAACAAAGATTGATCTTTGCTGGAAAACAACTGGAAGATGGCCGAACCTTGTCAGATTATAACATTCAAAAAGAATCCACACTCCACTTGGTTCTTCGTCTCCGTGGTGGTATGCAGATCTTTGTCAAAACTCTAACTGGAAAGACCATTACCTTGGAAGTGGAACCATCCGACACCATCGAGAATGTAAAAGCCAAAATTCAGGACAAGGAAGGAATTCCCCCAGACCAACAAAGATTGATCTTCGCTGGAAAACAACTGGAAGATGGCAGAACCTTGTCTGATTATAACATTCAGAAAGAATCTACACTTCACTTGGTTCTCCGTCTCCGTGGTGGAATGCAGATCTTTGTCAAAACTTTAACTGGAAAGACCATAACGTTAGAAGTTGAACCATCTGACACCATCGAGAACGTGAAAGCTAAAATCCAAGACAAAGAGGGCATTCCCCCAGACCAACAAAGATTGATCTTTGCTGGAAAACAACTGGAAGATGGCCGAACCTTATCAGATTATAACATTCAGAAAGAATCTACACTTCACTTGGTTCTTCGTCTCCGTGGTGGTATGCAGATCTTTGTCAAAACTCTAACTGGAAAGACAATTACCTTGGAAGTTGAACCATCCGACACCATCGAGAACGTGAAAGCTAAAATCCAAGACAAAGAGGGCATTCCCCCAGACCAACAAAGATTGATCTTCGCTGGAAAACAACTGGAAGATGGCCGAACCTTGTCAGATTATAACATTCAGAAAGAATCTACGCTTCATTTGGTTCTTCGTCTCAGAGGAGGCAAATATTGACTGATTTTTTTCACTTATTTATTTCATTGAATTGTACTACTTTGAAGCAAATATTTTATTTTAAAATAAATATTCCTGTTCTATTATATTAAGGCTTGAAAATGTTTTTTTGATATGAAAGGCTTCGAATGAAATTATATTTGGCTGTTTTAAGATAAATAAATGAAGGTGTAATATGTATGTTTTTTATTTGCAATTAACGGAGACTTTCAAAGACTCAAAATATGTATTACTATAGTTATACAACAACACTGGATGTTGAAGAGTGAACTTTAATTATACAGGTATGCAAAAAAAATTTAACATGGGTTGTTAGTTAATAACTTTCTTTTATAATAGCTTCCGATATCGTTGGTCCCAAAGCAAAACCGCCAATGTGCAGATTCCTTATTTTGAAAAAACTAGGTCTGAAGTATTTTATTTCAATCTGTTTGCATACTAACTCATTTACCAAGTTTATTTTTCACATTCATGCTTTTGTATAGGAAACTTGGCATGAAACTGAATTCAACCATGCACATAAGTAAAATTAGCTTTTTTAACTATCATGGTTTTGCCTTAGGCCCTTGCCTTGCATTCCAAAAATAAAGTTGCAGGATTTATAGATCAATAATTTTTTTTAACTAAAGATGAAATAAACTAACGGATGTAGTCGTTACTACATGGTAGATCATCATGAGAAATGAAAATTTCTGTTTTTCACCACTTTTATTTATAACTAAAGTTACTGCAGAGGGACCAATTTTCGTTTAAGAAAATTTGATTTAGGAATACTGCTACTTTCATTCATATTTTGGCACTGCTTTTCTAAATAGGTAGTTGGTAATGAAGTGAAATGGCACAGACCAAATAAAAAATCGGAGTACCGGGGCGTCACACCTCCAGCAATGCTCTTATTAGACTAACTTTTTCTTCAGTCAAAAGTATTGTGCTGAAATATGAAGGTGGCAGGATCCCTAATAAAAAAGTTATTGAAGCGGTGCCGCCTCTGACGCCCGGATTTTTTATATTGTCTGCCATTTTACTTCTTTTCAATCATTATAATATCTCTAGATGATTGTCACGCCATGAGTGAGACAGGGAAGAAAATAAGTATTGCTGAACTGTATTGCCAAAGTAACGGAAGTGTTTCCAAAACAATTCATTTACATAACTATGTTAGTTTAAAATTATATTCTTTTCTTCCAAATATAACAAGTGAACGAAAGGGTCCTACAATAGTAGTTTGTATTATGCAATAACTTTTATTCTGTAAAATTTTCAGTTAACCCTTTATCAAACTCCAACTCAACTCAATATTTACTCATGAAAGTTTGGAAGGTTGTAAACTTAAATTAATCCAGGAAACATAACTGAGCTATTCTTTATCTTCATATAAATGAAACAAACCATTAGAAATATTTTGTATTTTCGAAAGTGAAAACATATACAGCAAGTATAATCCTAATGTCTAATTTTACATATCATTTTGATGAGGTAGAAGGACCTTTATTGAAGGCGGATTTAATTATTTCCTGTTGATACCTCTTTGCTCTAACCTTTTTGAAAGTATGGGGTGTTTTCTTTGTAAAGCGACCTCTAGACATTCTATTCAACTGATCTTTCATTAGTTCTATTGCAGAAAATCCTTTAGGAATGTGAACATATCGAATATGCCTCTTGGTCACAAAAAACTGTGAGAACAGATGTTCGGTTCCTGAAAGTAGAAACAAATACAGATACTATTTTTCCACAGTTCAAATCAAATGAGGAAATTGAAATGTAGAACTCTTATAGCTGTCAATACCTTGAAAAAATATAATTTTAATCGAATTAATTTATATTTTTCAGTTGATAATGTTGTCATATTGAAATATTTTGGAACCCTCAGAAGATGGCCATAAATGACAAGAATGAATAAATGTTTCTATAAGAATAAAAGGAAAATTATTTTTAAAAAGAACATTGAAACTTGTTTCAACTAAACTTCAAGAAAGGAAAGAGAGCCAAGATAAGTAGAAAAGCGTAAGTTGTGTAAATTTTTGAAAGTCCGAATATGAAAAGCTTTTAAAGCTATTTCATTAAAAAGGAATGCTAAAAGTGACTTTGCTATTTGTGATATGGATAACTAATGCCTTTGAGTAAGTCGAGTATCCTCAGTTAGTTGACAATAATGAAATAATCTGTTTAAAAATTTGTGCATATCATTATTATAAAATAAATGTAACTATAAATTGATGGATGTAGCCATTACTACGTGGTAGGAAATCATAATGAAGAAATGAAACTTTTTATGTTTTTTACCACTTTTATTTGTAACTAACGTTACTGCATTTTCGTCTTATACGAACATTTTCAAACTTGTACAATAGTTTATTGTATTATTACAAATAAAAGTGGTAAAAAACGTAGAAAGTTTCATTTCTCTTTTCTTCATTAAAAGTAACTAGGTATGTAATTACCAGAGGAATGGGTGATTTAAAATTCAATGAAGATATCAAATAAATTATAAATAATCATCACTCAAAGTTAAAAATTGTCACAAATACTCATCATCTATACTAAATATCCAGATGTGTGGAAGAGTGATGGGTTTTTTCATTTATAAATATTACCACGAGCATCATAGAAAACAACGTCTTCCATCTCAACATTCATCCACCCATCAACTTTGACTACTTTTCCAGAAACAATATTTTCATTTCGTAAATCTATCACGGTATTATGTCCTTCTAAAGATTTCACGAGGCAGGAAAGAGAATTGAAAAGTTGATATTTTTCTCTTTTGGTTGGTTGATCAGTTACAGTGCATTCTAGCGAACCTGATTCAGACATGATTGACAAGATGGGGCCTCCTCCCTAAATTTCTAAAACTAAGATGTAATAATGAAATGTAAATTAAACAAATAAAGTTCCTAGAGCAGAATATTACTTTGTTCATAGCAAATTTGTACACTAAGGTTCCGACTGTTCAAGATACAATTGAAATAAATGACCTCAATTGAATTGCAAAATTGGGCAACAAGCCTGACATCTCATTGAAAGGGTTTTTTTTATTTAAATAGATTATTTGGTTATTTCTTAAATAACATTTAGGTTAGGGAAGATCGAATGATTCTTCTTCTTCTTATATTTTTTAGTCTTTGTTCCCTCGTGGAGGTTGGGCAATAAACCAGCATTCCAGAAGCACATTATCGCAAGGTACCTCTCAAGGAAAACAAACATTTTGTATCGACATTTCTACAAAATATTAAGATGGGTAATTTAAAATAGACAATAGGTTTTCAAAGTTGAATCATGAGTTATTTGTGTACGATAGTTTTTTTGTTGAAATTCACTTCTCACTAAGTGGAATTAACTCTGGGGTCTCCATCGAATTGTGAAGCAGGTCAGCAGGAACTGATGTTTCACTTAAAATACATTAACAAATGAAGCCTTTCGGTCCTGAAGAAGCTGAACACTAATTTTGAGGAAATCAAGTGGATAATTTTTTTCGTGTATATGTGAAGGAGAATGCAGACCTAAAAGATTTATGTGCAGCATTTATTCGTTTAGGTACTAAAGATGATATAAGTATACTTTATTGCACTTAACAAAATCAGTAGTCTATTGAGTCAACAGTTATTTTAGTTCTCCGAAAAATTTGAAATAAGTGCTAAAGTTCTTTTGGGACAGATTTGAAATATTTAAGCAAGTTATTTTTTTATTATTAATTTATTGTATCTTGAGTACTACCATCAGAAGCATGCCATATCAAGTTCTTTGAAATAAAATTACATATATTGGTTGCCATATTCAGATTCCTTCGAAAAAGTACTTTTAAAGAAATAAGATTATTTGACTACGTACCCAGCGGTTCAAAAGTTATTCCAGAAATAAGGTAAAAAATATGGGTCTATACAACCGTCTCCATTTTCAATGAAAACTCATTTGAAAAATCTGTTCAGTTATGAAAATGTAGATTTTCATTAAAAAAAAAATTATTTGACCAAAAGATTTTTCTATACCCGGGAACACCCTATAATTTATTTTTCATATCTGTGAAAAGCTCTTTCTCAAAATATGGAGTTTCATGAGCATACACCTAGCGGCTCAGCAAGGGAGTTATACAATAAAAACGCAAGAAACAAATTTTGAACACAATTTTATTGACAAAATTATTCTTCTCTGGTGAAGATTTTGAATTATTGTTTTTTCATTGTTGAAAAGTCATTTTTGGGAGATTCAATGTTTAGAAAAAACCTTTTTTTTAAAGGAAATGTTATTTTATAGATTCCACGTTGTAATTTTATAGGAAACCTGGGCCAGATATTTTTTCGGTTCTATTGATCCAGAATGAACTTTGTTAACGGTGTGAACTTCTTCGTAGATTATTTACCTAGCATTGTGGTCGCCTGTACCCTGCTGGAGACGAGTGTTGTGTATCGCGGACTAATGTGTACGTGTTAGAACTGGATTGTGTGTGTATTTGTTAGGTTTCCATACTAATCGGAGCCGCCGGACAGCGACTCATGGAGGTGTTCTATGCTTCTTCTTCGTCGGCCTGGGTGTGCTTGTCTCTTTCGTGGAATCTGGGGTCGTCTCTGATCAGTGCGTGTAGATCACGCATGGCTGAAACCACGCTCGAAGACATTCTGGACGTGATTTCTCAGGAGTGCATCCACGTATTGGGTGCTAAGATCCAGGAAGATGTAGCAGTTGGGTATTTATTGGGAACGTTTACGGCCGCCGACAAGCAGACGTTCATAAACGTCTGAATCTGAAGTCTGTATGTTTCTGCGCACTGGCCCCAGGCAGTGGAGGCATACAGGATGAAGAGGAGTAGGATGTGCTTGGTTAGGAGCAGTTTCACTTGAAGATACATGTTACTTGTGCGTCCGATGATGGGGTAGATGTTGTGTCGAGCAGGTTTCATCAGCCTCAATCTCTGTTGGATATGAAACCTCAATGTTAGTTTTTTGTCGAGGGCGACTCCCAGGTATCTTGTTTCGTTCGTTTAAGGAATCTCCTGGAGACCTTATGTTGTATGTCATCAATATTCATAGAGTGGGGGGAAGAACTCTCCTCCCCACCACTTTTTCTCTATAAATTATGACATACAACATAGCGAGTCTACCAACGAAGAGTTCGCAGGGAATTGCTGCCAACCACCGTTGGACCACGGCTACCCAAACAATTTCAATCAATCAACATAATTTTAATTCTAGGAATTAAGATATGCGACATACAGCGTTACCAATCGGAACGTAATTGTACGATTTGCATATAATTTCAACAAATGTGACTTCTTTTAGTCTTATTTTGTTATAATGACTTCACTATTTTTTCCAAATACCATCAGCCATCATTTTAAGATTGGTTGAAGAAGTACCAATTTGTGGACTTGTGCATTATTGACGTTGTCTTAGTATTAATCTTAAAAGCCGAAATTAAGGAACTTCGGAAGTCACAATTACAGGACAAAAAACTAAGACAAGGACATGAAACACTGTATGAATGTTCTTTGAAAGACAGTTCTCTGGGGTGTATAACCACCCACAATTGAAAAATAAACAGGAGAGTACTGGTACGTTTCTGCCCTGCTTGGAGCTTTGTTCACGAGATGGAACTGTTACTTGTTAACAATCTTTTTCTCAAACGAAGGTTTCATACATGCTTTCCTGCACTGATGCGAGGTAAACCTCAAAACCGGTCTGTAGATGATCTACTCGAATAATTTCAGCTGGATGAAACAGTGGTCCCAAGCTGCGATTGTCCACAGAAAGAAGCACTGGTTTGAGAGGAAGTTCAAAGAAGCTGCATTTACGTTGTCTCACGATGCATTCAGCCAAGCTAGCGTAAAAATACGCAACATATGGAAACCCATAATCGAGTGGGAAAAAGGTCAACTACCACTAAACGGTCAACCCTAGCTAAACCAGTGAAGCAGAAATAGGTACAACCGCTCAAATGACCTATAAATAATTATCTCTCGAAGGAATACTCCAGTCATCACCCGAAGACGATTGTGGATACTAACAATAAGAGGTAACTTGGTTTGAAATAATTTTTTGTGTTGATTTAAACTTTTTGTTTATTTTAGATTTTAATTGTTTTTATTTCATTTCTCTTAAGTCATTTTCATCTTGATAATTTTATTTGTGTTACTGTATTTTCATTCCTTGTTTTATTGCTTAATATAATTGATATTTTAGCTATTGATTCTAATTTTATTTGTTCTTTCATAGATTTCGAATCATATTAGATTTATTATACAAAAAGAGTCTGAAAGAAGCCGCATTTGTCGAAATCAAAGATGTTGTATTAATTGTCCAGTCTTAAAATTTTTGAAGACCATAACAGATTTTGGAAATACTGAGACAAGGACTAGGATAGATGTCTAAATCAGTCTATACTGTCTCTCACACTCTTTTCGACATCTTTTGTTTTGTTTTTTGATTGATTTGGCCGTTACTAGATGGAAGATCCATAGTAATTTCACAATTTCATTATGAAAAAGCTACTATGATAGCAAAACTTCATGATATTTTTGAAAATAAAGTTGCGAAGATCAAATCGTTTCCAGTGTAGTTTGTGAAATAAAAGTTTATATTGAATAAATCCACCTTAGAAGTTGAAATAAATTATGAAGTTTATATGTTTCAAAAACAGCCAACAATTCTACTTGTGACATAGATGATGTTAACCGATTTTATTGGATGTTTCTACTGATCTTCATTTTTCTCTCAAGTTTCTTTATTGTTACTTTCATAAAGTCTTGTTTTCTCCACGTCTACTGTTGTACTTCTATAACTTCACTTTGACAAAGTTACTTTCGCTTTGAGGAGTTGGTAGTGACTTTGCATGAGCCATGGTCGGAAATGCTGATTATTTCCAGTCTTGCAGTACTTGCCTCAGTTTACATTCACTTGCAAACATATTTGAGACTAGTGGGTTTAGATTTTCATTCGATTTCTTTGATCTGGATGAATAACCAAATATTTCTCTCTAAAATAGATATCATTTCTATAATCAATAATTCTCCATTATAAAAACATTACCTACATCACAGACATTAATTATCCTCTATGGCATCAGCTATTTTCATCAAGATTTCTGCCTTGAGTATCAATTTCTTTTTATTATTTTTCATTTTTGACAAAGATGAGGCTAATGACAATCCAAAATAGTGGTCTTCCAAGTTTTCAGGAATTTCGTTACTGGTTTGGGTGACACAGTTTTCCTCCTCGCTGTAATGTGATTCATTGTTTTTTCTCTTCTTAGACCCATTCTGCTCATGACTGAACAATCCTGTACGAGATAATGAAAAAGAATTCAATATCTCAGGCTGGTTCTTCTTGTTGGATATGGGGACCAATTTTTCAGGCAGGATGTTATTTTGCGTGTTTGATGGAACAGAGTATTCCAAATGGAGCTTTGAATCAGTACATTCCACTAAGGGGTCCATATCTTGATTATCTGAGAAAGAATGGGTTTCAACTCCATCATCTAGAGTAACATTCATAGTATTCCATGTTTCAGACTTCAGAGGTTGCTCCAATTCTGGGACCAATTTTCGTTTAAGAAAATTTGATTTAGTTCTAGAAAAAAATGAAGTCAATTTAATTTCAATAATAAAAATAATTAATATAATAAAATGAATAAGTACATACAAATTGACAGAGTACAAAATTAGATATGATTAAAATTTACTCATCATTCGAAAGAACCCACTTCAGTTTTTTCTTCAGATACGGAGTAGATAAATTAAGCTAATTCGAAATTATATTATTTAGCAGATGAACTATCAAGTAGGAGAAGAATGATGCCTCAAAAAGTGAAGAAGAATGGAGAGGAATATAATTAATCTACTATTTCTATTTCTTAGTGATGTGTTGTTAATGTTCTCCCTTCCATTTTTGAAGCGAGTTACTAGAGCAATTCAGTAGCAAAGCTATTCTTGATCAGTCAAGCATAGTGAACAAAATGTTTCATCTAATTTCAAGAGACGCAGTTCCCTGATGTTTGAGATGATGTGTACTTGAATGAGAACTGCTGTTACCTCTCTTTCTTCTTCGATTAGCTATTCGTTAGAATTTATGTCCACATTCATAAGCATTTTACTGTCTGACCTATTTCTTCCCACTTTTCTATGTTCTGTCATCTCAATAAATAAGTAGTAGACCAAATTGCTTCTCCCCAAAAAACTTTCCATATATGCTCTTTCTAATAATGTTCTATTCGTTTTTTCAGTGCTACTGTTTAATTTGAGTGTGTGAGGAATAGTGCAATCAATTTAAACACCTTTTACAATCATTTGATTAATATTCTGTCCCATTGTCACATCTTATTTTAAAAATAGGTTGGCTGAAATAATCAGTAGCCATAATAATCAGTAGCCAGTAGCCACAAATATTTTGAAGTAACTGAATACCTCAGACTTCAAATGTAACAAATAAACTGTACAAAAATAAGTATATTCACCTAGAAATGTAAGAAAATAATGTTTGTTGTATCAAGTTCCTGGTGTTATTGGACCACAAACATCACTGTGAACAATTTTTAGTGAAAGTTTTGCTCTATGTCTCTTACTATTGAAAGAAAATCTGTTGTCTTCCTGAAATGCAAACCAACTATAACACATTCACTCATATATAAACATCAACAGATGTAACTCAGATTCTATCAACAAATAATTGATGGGAGTTATTTTCAATTTGACAAAAATATAATTCCAGAATTTATTTTGAATTCTAATGCTGTTGATATGAACTATAACATAAGTACAATATCATACAGCTGACCCAACCAATGTATAATAGTTTTATTTAGTGGGCTTCACAGGTATACGTTTGACAACTAATATCTACTACTGGGAAACATACTTCATTTCAAATGATGAAATAATTATGTGTGAGAAAAAGAAGCCTCAACTTAATTGGAAGTTATTGAAAAACATACCTTCTAGTTTGAACATGAGGAGATAAAAAAGCCATTTTCTCAAAATGCGCCCAGGAACCCCCATAACCAGTGGATCCAGAAGGCAATGTCTTTATTATTTTCCTCTCCCTTACAAATTTTAGTCTAACACTTTTCCATAAATCTTGGCATTCTTCCACTGAAAACAATTTAAATATATTAAAATTCTTCACAAAACTATATATATGTTTTCCCTATGATTTCACCTGTACTATCTGCGGTGTAAGCGATTGTTCTCCAGGCGTTTTCAACTACAGATTTGTTTTTATAATCCTCATGTTTTAGATCCCAAATGCAGGGAAAATTCTCCACCTCTTCAATGATAAATTCCTCTTCCAAACTCATTTCAAATGTACATGAAAATTATAAATAAAAATTAACAATTATTCTTAATTTTTAGGTTAAACATCGCAAAGCACAATTTGTGCACAGAACATAGAATTTAAACTAGGTTTTTGAACTTTGAACTACCACGTTTCACTCTCAGACTCAGAGTAATGATATTTTTTTATTACTCTGAGCATTTTACTGTGGTTTTAGCTCTGTGGAATTAGTGTCACTCCGATTGAAATTTAAATAGTAACGTCACCAACCTTGAAATTGTACAACTTTTGGTACAATTTGAAAGTGTAGAATATGTACTACTGACAGAAACAGGATGAATTCATATAGGTCAGTCATCTGATGATAATATATAAGGCTTTTTATGATAGAAAACTCTTGTATATGAAATAACTTGATTGTACGTTATGACAGACCTTTTTATCTATTCATTATTTTCTCCCTGACAACATATATAATCTAAGCATTCAGAATACGTTATGTTATTCAAAACAAACAATAACAGCAATAATTCTGTTTTGCAGTTAGCAGTCCACTACAATATAGAAGACAACATACTAACGTCCAGTATTTTGTGAAGTTCCAGCATTAGGACACTCATTTAGGAGTCACATCCACCGCAACTCTGGATCAACATCATTTTATTGTTTATTTATATTTTTGTTTATGGCTTGTTATGATCTTGTTTTCAATTATATTTCTTTTCATAATTTATATATTATTTACCATATTTCCACCACAAATATATAAATTAATGTCAAGTATTATGTAAAACAACACTTGACATTAATTTCAATTAAGAAAAATATATAGAATACCATCAGTTGCACTTCAACACAGAACGAATTCTTTCATTGTTGAAAACATAATATTCAACGTATAGTAAGATCCAGACACACACGATTATAAACATGGATTATATTAGATGTGATAAATTAAAGGAATAATTTGTTGTGTATAGTTTGTTGCAGTTACTATTTTATAGATATATTTTTACATTGTATCTTATCATCACTCAACATAATAGTAAACCATTTCTTTATTGTTTTCAGTCACTGTATACGTTTCCATACCTTAATAAAGTCAGAACTTATATCTAAAGAAATTATTCAAATTTCGTTTTATGCTGTATAACGTAATTCGTATAAAGTTGAATTTGATCTTTAATGTTAGTGTTTGATGTTTTTAACCTATGATAGTGTTTAAACACTGTATGTAATATATTTTTATCGGTATTGTTCCACAACCGTGTGGAATTTTTGCAGTCTTTCAATCATGTTCTCAGTCTAAAAAATCTCCTCGATCAGATTTTCTCAGAAAATTGAATATAAACATTCAAATGTTACCTTAGTATTCAACTCGAATATATTTTAAATATTCTGTTATTTTCAAAACTTTTACCTTTTCATTCCTAAATATTACTGTTCGTGTCTTTGATAACAAGGATGAAATAATTAGGATTTTTTCTTTCTTTTATTTTAAGGTCACGTCCAAGTCGAATATCTCCACATAAATAATATGATGGATGTATATTACATTTTCATTGAATATATTACATTTATATAAAATAATACGAAAAATTTTTTTCTTTTGGCAACACTGTACCTATTATTCCTAACAAACAAACAAACGTCAATTTGACGTTAATCTTTTTTAAATGTTTATTTAAACATCCAATTTTTTCCGGGGTGCCGGAACTACTGGATAATTTATGTAATCCAGTAGAATGGTGATATAAATGTGTTTTTTTTTAACAGAGAAGAAATCCATGGGGAAATGTTGAGTCACACAGAGGGTATTGTACTACAATGATTGAATCTTTTACTGATAGGAATAAACATTTAACGGTGGTGGGTAGTTAGTTCAATCTCACAATATATTCGCAACACTTTAGAATTGATTAAGTTGAAGGTACTTCATTATTCTGTGACATACAGTTTCTTCTGAAGAATCAATAAATCTACCTGTCATGATCTGGGCATGTGCAAGACAAGGGCTGCAAAGTTAGTATTCCCAAATCTTGCTACACCCCTTAATGTGGGTTGATCAATGGAATCCCAAATCAATATACTAAGCTAGTGCATTTCATAATAAAAGCAAATGTGAACATGTAATCTTAAAATAAGTGAAGTAAATAAATACTAGTAGAGCAATTTCAACAGAGGGTGATAAGTCTTGGAAAGTCAATTGAATGTGATAACTTGTGATTGATTTGGTACCAGATGGTCAAATGGGTCTAATCAGTTTATTGAGAGTATCTTGAATTTTTAAAATGCAAACTTTAAGAAAGAAAACAAGCCCCATGAAATGTGAGTGAGGTTTTCAGTGCTGTATATTTGAATACCTCATGAAAGATATTTTCTAGATAAAAACGAAACCACCCGATTTTTGGGAGATGGGGTAAGTTTCAAAGCCAAACTCATTGGAATTTTGGAAGTTTCCGAAGCAAGAGGCGATAGGATGTGCCAGGAAGCACTTTCTGATCTGAAAATGGCCATCAGGGCTGCGGGAGAGCATAAACAGAGAATAACTATCAACATTGCAATAGATGGATTACGTTTAAGAGATGAAAAAACTGGAGTAAGGCTCTATTTATCACAATTTATTCGTACTAGTTACCAAATTTGAGGATTAAATTTATTTTTGTTTCATTCATTGATTTACAAATAAATTCACAAAATAATTCAAAAACTGAACAATAGTTTAAAAAATGTATTACATACTCTATACAAATTGCAATAATAAGTTAATTTATGGAGTCCTAACTGGATAAAATAATTGTGTAGAATTAACTTTACAACTAAACTGATTTGAAGTGTCATTCTACAATTATATGAATTACCTTCATAACTCTATGAATATGCTTCTGTGTGATCACAATAAAACATGATTTTAGCCACAAAAAGTTTTAAAATTCTGTAGCTGTCTTGATGGTACTTGAAAATTCTATATACTAGATTGGATAGATGTAATTGAAGAATCAAAAAAATTAGAGGAAGTTAACTTTATCAAAACAAATGATGCTTCTTCACAAAAAATAATATCTGCACTTCTCTGAACTTGTCAGAAGACTTTTTAGCAGCCCATAATCTGAAATTGAACACCAATAAGACGAAAGTTATAAATTTTACACGAAATGGTACTAGTAGTGATAGTAATTTAGCAATGGGTTAGGAACACTGGAAGCTGTTTCTTGATTTTTTTTTCTGGGCTCAAGAGTCATATAAATAACATTGCAACAACTCTATCAAGAAACTGCTTTGCTTTGAAAGTAATATCACAACATGTTTAACAAACTTTAGCACTACTGGCATACTATGGACACGTTGAAATTCGTATTAGATATGATATCGTCCTTTGGGGAACCCTTGGGACACTCTGCGAATATTCACTCTACAAATATTCACTCTGCAAAAACAGTGTTTGAAAAAAATTTTCAATCTATTCCCGAACAGAGATTTGTAGGGAAATATTCACTGATAAGGAAATATTAACTTCTACAAGTATGTATGTGTACAAATGTGTTATTTTTGTTAAAAAAATTTTCAATCTATTCCCGAACAGAGATTTGTAGGGAAATATTCACTGAAAAGGAAATATTAACTTTTACAAGTATGTATGTGTACAAATGTGTTATTTTTGTTAAAGAAAACATGTCTTCATTTGAAACTTTTGATATAAATCACTCCCATTTTCTCAATTTAATGACATGTTTTACATTTGTACAGAAAAATGTTCCTTTTTTTTGTTATAAGTATATATAATAAAATACCCGATTTCATCAAAAACTTGCCCCTTAAAAAGATGGAGAAGAAACTGATAATCATGCTTCTATTAAAGGCATATTATTCAGTAGAAGAATATTTCGCTGATAGACTTTTGAGTTGTTTGGCGATTTGTATTTGTTTTCTTTTCTTTTTATTTTATTCATTTTTTTTAGATTTTATATTAAATTGTATGTTTGTCTGTTATGTTTCTGTCTGTTTAAAATCTGTTTTTCCGTTAACCAGCTGTCGCACCCCTACGAACGACAACCCTCAGAAGTCGAAACTTGTGTTTTTCAATATTTAATGTTATTGTTTTGATAATTTGACAACCTCTACACCGGTATGGGTGCTTGTACCAAAGAACTGATAAAGATCATCTATTTATTTATTTTGATTCCATCTAATATCTTTCAAGCTATTTTAAATTTCACCTTTGCATGATGTGAAAAAATTACCACTTGATAATACTTATTACTGTTATTCCTCAGGTCATATTTCATATAATGATATCTTGGCAGGTATATATTCTAACCTAGGGTTTCCAAACTGACATATTCTGTTGACAAGTTTATTTGTTGTATACTTGCTTCATTGAAAAGAATAAAAAAGAAAACTGCATGTATGAATAACTGTTTTCATTTCAGTCCTTTTGTTTCAGGATTCTCTTTATCACCATCCAGTTCATAAAATTTCATTCATAGCTCAGGATATGACTGATTCCCGAGCTTTTGGATACATTTTTGGTTCTCCTGACACTGGTCATAGGTTTTTTGGGATAAAGACTGATAAAGCTGCAAGTCAGGTATATATTTTCTATTTTTTGAACATATCATGTATATCATTACTTATGTCCCCCTCTATACTCTCATATAAAAATGAAAGTTCAAAAATATTCGCTATTCAAAATCAGAAATGCGATAGAAAAACAAACATTTGATGCCAACTTTCTTTTGTTGAAATCTTCAAACGTGTATTGTTTTTTTTTCAGGTTGTTATAGCAATGAGAGATCTCTTCCAAGTGGTGTTTGCTTTGAAGAAGAAAGAAATAGAATTGGCAAAGCAACACTTAGAGAAAACTTGTTACCCTTCATCTCCACTATTTTCTGATAGCTCTAGTTCCAGTTCAAAAGTAGGTGCAGTTTCAACTAAACAACTTTAATTATTAGCATCAGCAAAAACAAAAATCAAATAACACTAGATTGAAATATTTTCAGACATTGCCTTCATATTGTAAGTTCTTCCAATATGAATTCTTAATTTTCGTATAAGTACCAAAATTAGGTGTTTGGACAATCATGAGGTTTTATTGACCAAAACAAAGAAATTTTTTGTTATAGTGAAATAAATAAATATTTTCACATAAGTCGCTCATTTTCAACTTGAGGAAGAAAGGTGATACGAGCTTTATTGCTGAGAATGTTTTTACGAATCGAAATGCATGATAAAATATAGGGTTCCATTTAAAAAATATCATTTTATGAAATATTTGGAAAACGCAACTGTCAATTTTTTGTTGTTTTCGGCATCGAGAAGGCCATTAAAAATGCTACTAGTTTGCCCATTTAACCGAATTCGTAGCATCAATAATAACAGAGTTGGCAATGGTGCCGACTTAATTTGGAGCACCCTGAATATACACGTCAATAAATTGGACTCAAAATTCAAAGACGAAAAAAATAGTACTTAAATAAACAATAAACTTAGTAGAAATTCGACAAAAGCTATTTTTTTATTCCATATTCAATATGAATTTCTACAAAATAAATAGGTTATCAGTCGAACCAATAGTACAAGTATCTATGCTGGGTGTGCAATTTGTGGTAACTAACTATATATTCGTATTTAAGAAAACATTTCTTTTAAATATCTTAGGAAGGAATCTTGAATTTTTTTCAAAACTAGTACATTTTCACCAAAGACAGGTGGAATTGAAGTAATTCATAGTTGCTTCCAGCACATTCTCCTTAGACAAATGAGTGTCGGATTTGGATTCACAACAATATTATTTTTTTCTGATTGATTCGGCCGTTACTTGATGAAGATCCATAGTAATTTCAAAAACTGCACCTCAACGATTTGATCTCCACAAACTTCATTTGAAAAAATATCACATGTTTTGCTTAGACATTAGCTTTTTCAAGTGATTTTCTACAATCATTATATGCAATCTTCCTTTAGTTTCCTTTTTAAAATTCGAGCAGATTTTTTCAATAAAAATTCGTTGGTATGAAAGCATCCCTGAAATAAGGTTTTTTTCAATTTCACTATCTACATTTGATGAATTGACTGTTTCTATGATGTTAGTTACAGAGTGTGCCGAACGTATCAATAAAATCAGTAGCCGACGCAAAAGCGAGCAGCGCCAATGATTCGAAGAACTCAGGCACTGCTGTTGCAGATTTGGTGGATTTGGAATTGGAGCTGAATAGTTTGCAGCAGGGCCTAAATCAAATGGAAAGGATTACGCCGTCCGATCCTTTTGGTTCAAAAGATGATCCTTTCGGGGATAGTTTCATCAGTTATCCAACAGTAAGTGCCTAACAAATCTCGTTATAAAACATCAAAAATAAATGATGTCAAGTTGATATTAATGGTGCCTCAAATAAAGGAAGAAAATTTGAGAATGGAGTGCCACAAGGTTCTGTGTTGGGTCCAATTTTGGTTAATATTTATATTAATTATATATTTTATTTGAAATCTGAAGATAAAATTCATCCTTTTCCTGATGATATAGTTACTGCATAAGCTGCAGAATTTGAGGAGAATTTAAAACAGAAAGAAACATATTTCAACAATAAATTTTCAGAAAACAACGGTATTCCAGTATTTTCTCCAAATTCTTTGTTGTATTTAGATATCAATACTTTATAACTCTTGGTGTATTTATAGTTTATATATACTGGAAGCTTGCACATATATTTATAAGAATAAAAATAAGTTTGCAATAGATAACAATCATTGCTATAACACCTGTCATAGAAATCTCTTGCAGCCTGATTTTCATCGCACATCTCTGTATCGAAGAAATTTTTATTGT